TTAAATTACTTAATTACCCCTTTCCTAACTTTAACCCAAATTCTTTTGTTTTAGTTCGCAATATCAAACAAAAACAAACTCTCGGTCTGCTTTGCACCATTTTTCTCCATTGTCTTATTACCTTTTCTTCTTCCTCGCTCCATTAATTCCATGCCTACATTTTCCACCCACTTTCATAAATCCCTTTCTGTCCTTTTTTCCTCTCCACTAAAAACAAACTCTCAGTTTGCTTTGCACCACTTTTCTCCATTGTCTTATTAACTTTTCTTCTTCCTCTCTCCATTAATTCCATGCCTACATTTTCCACCCACTTTCATATATCCCTTTCTTTCCTTTTTTTCCTCTCTACTGTGCCTTTTATTTCTCCTTACATTTTGCATCCACCTTCTAAATCCCTAATTTCAAACAAACTCCAATTTAACAAAAATTATAGGTGTTTCTTCTTTCTCTCTCCACTAATTCCATGCCTGTATTTATAGATATCTCATATATATATATATATTAAAGCGAAAATCTTGCAAATCGCAAAGCTGTTAGCAAAGTATAAGATTCTTGCAATCTATAAGATTCTTGCAAAGCTGTTAGCAAATTGCCTCAGGAAAGTACTTGACAAGATCATAGGGGAGCAGCAGATGGCGTTTATAGAAGGCAGACAGCTGATGGATGGAGTGGTGATTGCAAACGAGGTAATAGACGAAGCGAAAAGGAGGAGAATAAAGAGCTTTTTATTCAAAGTTGACTTTGAAAAAGCTTATGACAAGGTGAGCTGGGATTTTGTTGATTATATGCTAATGAAGACGGGATTCACAGTTAAGTGGAGAAAGTGGATAAGGGAATGCTTGCAATCGAGTATGATCTCGATCCTTGTGAATGGAAGCCCCACAAAGCAATTCTTGGTCAACAAAGGAATAAGATAAGGCGATCCACTTTCACCTTTTCTATTCTTATTAGTGGTAGAAGGTTTGAATGGGCTAATGCAATCTGCAGTGGAGAAAAACTTGTTCAAAGGGGTGAGGATCGGTAACGGAAGCATAGCAGTATCTCATCTCCAGTTCGTTGATGATACATTATTTTTTGGGGAGGCTTCGGAAGAAAACATACAGGTAATCAAATGCATTTTGAGGACTTTCGAACTTGCTTCGAGGTCGAAAATCAACTTTGGAAAAAGTCAGATAATGGAGATTAGAACCGATGAGGGCTGGAAGGAGAGAATGGCTTGTAGACTGTGCTGCAAAGAAGGAGATCTACCTTTCAAGTATCTGGGAATACTAGTAGGAGGGAATCACAGAAAGTTAGCATTGTGGAAGCCACTGTTGGAATCTTTTAAGAAGAAATTAGCTAGCTGGAAAGGCCAAAATTTATCCCTAGGAGGTCGGATCACGCTCTTAAACTCTGTGTTGTCCAGTTTACCTGTGCATCTAATGTCGGCTTACAAAATCCCCAAAGGTACTCTATATTCCTTAGATAAAATACGTAGGAATTTTTTATGGGGAGGGTTGGGGGAGGAGAAAAAAATTAAATGGGTTAGTTGGGAGAGGGTGTGTAGGAAGAAGGAGTTTGGAGGCCTGGGAGTGAAAGACCTAAGAAAGTTTAATTTGGCGTTGATGGGAAAATGGTGGGGACGGTTAGTGAAAGGGGAAGAGGGGCTTTGGTGGAAAGTTATAAAGGGAAAATATGGAGATAACGGAGGACAGTGGATGGACTAGGTGAGAGATGGAAGAGGAGTAGGATCACTTTGGTGGAGAGACCTACAAAGTCTCAATGTGGGGGAGGACGGGAATGAGGGATGGTTGACGGAGGGATTTAGAATGAAGATAGGTGAAGGGAAAGGAGTGAGTTTTTGGTGGGATGAATGGTGTGGA